TGGACCTCTATACAGGGACAACACTGCAGCCGGCTTCCTCCAGACCAAGTGATCCAAGAGAAAGAACAAGGAGAATAACCTACACTCTACTCACTAGAAGCAAAACACTGAATTTAACCCATACCCAAGAACACAGGAATTAGACTCCATCTTTTAAAGGAAGAAATACCAAATAATTTTTTAAAATATTCAAAAACCACTTCAGGTAGTCAGGCTTTGAGGTTCACATAAAAGAAAACTTCCTTTCTGTCATAAATCCTCTTTCCACTTTCACTTTTCATAATCTTTCCCTGGCTGCACAAGACAGTAGGGCTGGAGCTAAAGGCAACCTGAGACAGGGCCTTTCTTGATGCTGCTGCTGCTGCTGTTGCTGTTGTTGATGATGATGATAATGACAACAATGATGGCTACAACTTCCATAGCTTACTAGGTGCCAGGTACTGTGCATATATATTAATTCATTTCATTCTCCCAGTAATTCTATGAAGTAGGTGCAATTATCATCCCCAATCTGTCTGCAGAGCCCTGCTCTCCATCACTATGTGATCTCTTGATTGTGGCAAAAATGAAGATTTCTTATACCCTCTCATTCACTTGGGACCTTTTTGTTTTTAGAATAAAAACTGACAAATCTTTACAGACCAAGTAAAGAGTACAGAGAAGGCAGAAGAAGACTCTAGGGTCAAAAAAAAAAAGTTTCCAAACTTTTTTCCAAGAGCTGAGCCACAGCATTAAATGCAAGGACCAAAGCTGATAAATGATGAATAAAGAAATTACTATAAACCATGGACGTCTGTATAGAGTGCAGATTAAAGGCATGAAAATTTGTTGAATGCCTTTGTTTGAAGATGATTAGACCATATGGTAATAACTAAGTCAATGGATTTTCAGCAATCTTAACTTTCTGTGGTCTATGCAAATAGATTTGTCCCAAACAACTTATTTATAATGGACAGTGTTTTCATAATTAATCCACTCACCCCTGCAAAATGAAATTCTATGTTACAGAGGTGAAAAGAAATTTACAGACTAGCTTCTTTCCTGAATGTAATATATCTGTTCCTTGTAATAAGCAAATACATAGGATAATTATGCCTCATAATTTCTTTTGGATTTCCTGAGGTAGACATAGGCAAAATGTGATACTAGAAGGGTGGTAAGGTCTCTCTGAAAAAATAGTATGCACTTATTTAAATTACATAATAAAAACTCCTTCCAGACAATGAGGAAATAATCCATTTTAGAATGTATCTTATTCTAAACTAGCCCTTATTCAAAGTGTATTAAAATATAAACTGGTTGAAGCTTCCACTTCAGAAACCTGGCCGCATATCAGTAGATATCAAACACCACACAGACGTTATGCTCTACTCTTTAAAGTCTTCAAGTGTGATAGTCAATAAAAGTGACTGCTTTGGAGCATCAGAACAAAGGATGCACATCTAACATTTCATCTTTGGTGACGGATGTTGGATCAAAGGGGAAGACTAGAGAATGAATCCACCAGGGTCTCAAATAAACTTTCCAGTTTGTGGAACAACTATAAACCAATCTCTGAAACACTGAAGGCTAAATTTTAGGAAAATACCCTATTCCTTAGTCAACCTGCTCACACCACCACTACTCCCCAGTCAAACTTTTCGTTAACAGGCTGGGAGAGGGGGTTATTGTGCTGTGTTTTCTACAGATCTTAAAAGGGGCTACATTAGGGAGAATATGTTTCTCCCTGAAGCTCACAGTCTAGGTGCAATAGGAAAACACACACACACACACACTTTTCCTCTCAAAAAAAAGGAAGTGTCCTGAATAACTGGCTTCAAAAAAAAAAGGTCATAGGAGGAGGAAAGAGCACTTTTTGCATGTGTATGGTAAGAAGGAAGAAATCTAGTGCAGAGAAACTTGCTCAAATTAACCTAAAATAGAGTTTACTGAAGCAATCTACCACTTACCTTTGTTGTTACTACAAGATTCTAATGTCAGTGATTAACAAAGGAGCCACTGTCTCGTTAAGCTATTCAGTGCTAGGAGTTCCCTAGTGGAATTTTACCTCGTGTGTGTGTGTGTGTGTGTGTGTGTGTGTCCCTACTGATCATCAACTTAAAGGATAGGGCAGTGTGTGTATCTCCCCAAGTTGGTGCTGGTGTAATAACATACTCATCTATTAATACATGATTTTAGGCTCCAAAAGGTTGCAAATACAGCCTGGTCTCCATAACCTAGTAAAGTATTTCCAAAATAAGCTGACCTCCAGTCCAAACTGCCTACCCACTGAGCAACGAGGACATTTCTAGAAGAGAACACGTGATTTCAGTTCCCCCTCTTTCCACTGTCTCTGAAGCAAGGAAAGGAATAGTGGATTAAACTGCTCACAACCTTGGAAAGCCGCTCCACATACCACAGCTTCTGGGAAGAAAGGCATAGAGCTTTAAGTTACAGAATCCTGAATGTGAACCAAAGAGAAAATTAATCACCAAGTGGGAGAGTTGAGCCTGGACTTTGGGGCCCAGAAAGAGAACTGAGTAGAAGCAATGAATGCTGCTGGGACATCTGAGAGACAGATGCGGTGCCCTTCCCTTCCACTCTGTATCTGCCATGCAGCCTCATTGCCTTTTCCTTTTTAGGAAAAGAAACACACACACACACACACACACACACACACGAAAATGAAAAAGCAGTTTTACCCTTTCTTTCACCACACGCACACGCACACACACACACCCTTGTTTTTGTCTGTTTTCCACTGTTGGCATTCTGATGCCTGGAAGCCTTTTTAAATGCAGTGGTCCATCTTACTGTGGACTCTTTTTATTTTTAAATCATGACCCCGTTAGCTGTAACGAATGGCTGATGGGCTTAATCAGATGCTTATGGTTGTTATTGCCATAAAATTTTTGAACCAAAATGAAAAATGATTCTTACTCTCCATTACTTGAGCTGGGGAGTATTTCCTCAGTTTCTTCACCACGCTAACCCTTGTGAAAAACTGTTCTTGTTGCACGTAAATGAAAATAAACCAAACCAACCAAGAAAAAGGGAATTAGAGGTAAGGCACCCCCTCTTCTCTCTCATTCCCAGTTTTATGAGGCCAGTTGCAACCAGGAGCCAGCTAGAGTCCTGGGTGGAAGTAAATTAGCTGGAAACCTCAAGCTGCTGCTGCAGTCAACTAGAGAAAGGAGCAAATGTCAATGCAGCCTGGCCCCAGAGCCCGACTCTGGCTGCCACCCACACACCTCAGAGCACATCAGTATTCAGGCTGGCAAGTGCAGAGACCCATCCGCCCTCTGCAGATATGGCTATGGAGTGGAGTCCAGGCCATCAGCTTTCACCCTTCTCAGACGCTTAGAATGGAAACACGAGCACAGAGGAACACTTCCTAAGGGATTTGCAAGAGGTTTCTTCCCACACCTCTAACTTGGAATAAATACTATGAATCTGTTTACTTCTTGAGAAAAACTTCAATCTTAGTTCCAAGTCTTCTGGGTCTAGTACTACTATATCACTACTACTGCTACTATTACTACTATTATTATATTCTGGGAATAACATTCTAATTATATTGTGAGGGGTGTGTGTGTGTGTGTGTGTGTGTGTGTGTGTGTGTGTTTAGGAAGAAGGAATAAATAAAAGTTGCTTGGCTTTTCAAGGCAGAAGAGGGGTGAGTAAAGGCTAAAAAAATAATGTGGATAAAAGTTTTCATCTTTGAAAATTACATTAAAAAGTACAGGTGCAGGAGAATAGGTGGTGTGTCCTCCCTACCCACCCACCTCTGTTCTTTTTTAAAAAGGGAAAGAAATAGTAGGAGAGAAAAGGGAAGAAAGGAAGTGAAAGAAGTCAGGAAGGAAAGGAACGGAAAGGGGAAGGGAGGGAGGAAAGGAAGGGGAGAAGAAGGAAAAAAGGAAGGAAAAAGAAAGAAGGAAGAAGAAAGAAAGGAAGGTGTTGTCACAGCTAAAACAGGTATCATCCCAGCACTTCTCTGAATAATTGCCTCTCTGAAAGACACATACCTTAGTCATGCTAAGAAGATGGAAAATCAGAAGAGTCTGAAACTCCCTGAGAACTTCACAAACTAGAAAAAAGAAAGAGGGCAGATTTTCAGCCTTTCTTTCTGTTAAACCATGCCATCAGCATTGCATTCTACAATAATTTCCCTTCAGGCAATTTTGTCTTGTGGAATTTGTGAAAATTTTAGTTTTCAACTATTTTTTACTTTCAAGGGAACAAACAGACCTATACTTTCTTTAGCCTGCAGAATCTACTGAACTCTATTGATTTTTTTTCTCTTTGAACACAAGCTCATTAACCTGAAACACTAAGGAGGTAATGACATTTCACTGAGCCTGAAACTGAGTGTCTAAAAACAAAAAGATCCCGAAACAGTGATATAGCCCTGGGTTTCCCTCCCTACCCTTGCCCCCAGATTCAGCTGAAGAAGCTGTAACATTGCTTTCTCAACCCTAAAAGATTTTTACACCAGCTAAAGAAGCTTTCTTTAAATTCATCCTTCTACAGTAATGTTTAGTAAAATCAAGGCTCTGTCCTTCCGCAATTTCTGCAGTCTTAAATATTAGCATAAACAGCAGTGCTACTCCAACAGCAAGCTCCGCTGCCTCCTCCAAGCTAATCGAATAGGGGCTGACTGAGGAGCTATCTTGGATATATGGAAATGAGGTCTTCCCAACTGCCCCCCAACCCCAGGGACTTCCTGAAAAAGGAAAAAGCGATTTGGAAGAAATTAGACAACACAGACATCAGAAGCAGCTAGCTAGCTAGACTAGTCTCTCCAAGAATCGCCATGAGTGGGACTGCATTTTTTTTTTTTTTTTTCCAATCCAGGAGAATGAGAAATGTGACACCATTCTTCCAAAGGAAAAAAAAAATTAAGGAACAGCTATTTCACCAAAGAAACCGATATACCATTTTTTGTGGTCTTGACTTTTATTATTTGAGATCTCTGATGAGATCAGATGATCTGTACCCTTTCATTCAAGGCAACAGACGTCTTCAAACTGTTTTTTAATTTGATTTATCCTTTGAAACAGAAAGTGCATTACATTTAACTGGTCTTGCAAAGGGGGTTTCTTCTCTTTACAAACCGAATTCCTTATATAAATTAATAAAGGTTAAAGATGCTAATATATCACCATTATTAGCTTAAAAAAGAAATCAATTTACATATTCTATAGTATTCTTATGATACAAAACACTTCAAATTCAATTACAGCAACTAAATGGATTTTTATGTTTCAGACCCAGAGCGGTTGTAACAATTCCCACCATCTACTTTAACACGCATTTTTATCAGAAAGGAGTTAAATACAAGCTATTGCAGCCCCTCCCTCCCCAATACTTTCTTTAAATCACTAATAAATAGCAACAAACGACTGTGCAATTTCAGAGAGGAACAGGGAGGCAGGTGAGAAGTCCTCCCTGATTCCCACGTCTTCCACTTCAAGTCCGGGGCGAGAGCGCAGTGCAGATCCAGGGGATGGGCAGGGCAGGGCGAGAAGAGGTAAGAGGAAAAGGTGAGTTTCTGCACGCGAAACGGGAAGGAGGAAAGAGAGGAGGGGACGGAGAAAGTGATGACATTCTATTCTAGGCTTCTCAAATCAAGTTCAAAAATAAAAGGGAAAGTGTGGTTTGAGTCACTCTCCAAAGGGGAGGGAGAGAAGGCAGAAGGTCCATCTTTTAATACGAAATTCAAAAAAGCATTTTACATTTTAAATATTCACAATAAAGTAACTTCTAGTCAGTGTAACTCACGATTTATTTACAAAGAGCCTTCAACAGGTTACTTTAGTCGCACAGCAGTGTGTTGGGGGAGAAACGTCCCTCTTCCCATCGGTGGCTGCGCCCTCCCTCGTGGCTCCGAAGACCCCCGTGCGGTGGGCTTGGACCCTTCTACAGTACCTCTCAGCGCCCCCTACCCCACTGCCCGCAGGGGCAAAATATGGAGGCGAGGGGGGACCCGAGCGCTGAGGCCGCTTTTCGCTGATGGGGATGGCGCTGGGACCATGACCCGGCCGCTGGTTTCAGTAGCGTCATTTATGCAGTGCATTTGGTGGTCTTCCTTGCCTCATCAATCCCCGAGTCTCTCTCCCCCACATCCCCTCCCACAACTTCAAGGTTAAAAAAATAGATATGTACATCTCAAAAATAGCAAAGGGTCCTCGGGCCTAGGGGCGGGCAGGCGCAGCGCGTACGCGGTCCCCGCGGCCCCAGAGGCGGAGGCCAGAGCCGGGCAGGTGCGGCGGGCGGTGGCGCTCAGGATGAGCTCTCCGGCTCGGACGCGTGCAGTAAGAGGCCGCCGCCGCCGCTGCTGGACTTGTGCTTCTTCAGCAGCTGCGTGATTTTCTCGTCGTCCGAGTTGGGATCCAGAGGTTTGTTGTAGTCGTCGTCCTCCTCCTCGTTCTCCGAGGCCCCCTTGAGCCTCTCGGTCTCCGAGTCCTGTTTCTTCTTGGCCGTGGCCATCTCGGCCGCGTGCTTCTTCCTCCACTTGGTCCGGCGGTTCTGGAACCAGACCTGAGAGCGGAGAAAACGGAGAAGAGCGGTGGCAAGGGCAGAAGAATTGAACGCCAGCAAAGTCAGGCCGTACCACCACCCCCGCATCTCCAGGGCCCTCCTGCGGCCCTGACGACCTGCCGCCCTCCCTCGGAGCCCTCCAGTGCCTCCGCCATCAAAGTCAGTCTCCAACACCCCAAGTTCCGCCCGCCCCCGAGTAACTGGCACCAACAAACTGACCGCCGTTGCCATAGTGATGGTAACACAAGAGTACTGAGGTCAGTGAACGAGTTCTCAAAAGTAAAAACAAAACTTGGAAACTTAAAAATGAGTGTCCCTAAAAGTGAGTTCACTTTCCTGACTTCTAGTTTGAAGTCGAAAACTTTTCCTCCTGCATAAAGTTGCCCCACAGTGGCTGTGATTGTATTTCTTATTTACTTCCTTAAATTAAGGAATTTCAAACAACCTGACATGTACTTGCTTTTCATTGTAAATTGTGGGGAAAAGCACAGCATTTGCCCCAATTACTTCTGTTCTCCTTTTCACTTTTGAACATTGTTTCACTTATCTCAGATATGAATGTGTATAAACATGGTAGATAAAGAATATCCTCCCTGTTTTTACTTAGAATGTATGGTACAGTTTTTATATTAAAAATCTGTTAAAATACAAACTTCAAATTGCTTTTAATGTTTTTCATAAGCCCAGAGTAAATTGAAGACTAGAATTATTATTGGTTATTTTTTAAACATGAAAAATTGTCCATTACATTATTTTCCACAATTGGTATATCTATTCCTTCAGATATTATTTTAATTGTGTTCCTGCCCAAGACATTTAATACAATTTTTAAGTTTATTCATGATGTTTGACACATATTTTACCTAAAGCATCAGCAAGAAGCAACCAATTTCCCAAAGATATTGCATTATCCTCCCTTTATGCTTCTCATACATTATGTATTTTATCTAGAGAATCAGAATTGTTAAGAAAGTGATTTTTATTTTCTTTATACAGCTATAATAATTCACTTCCAGCCATATAGACATATTTACGGTGACAAATGAAGACCTCCAGTTTACCGCAGTAGGCTCTGTACCAACCTACTGCAAAAATAATTTTAACTGTGATGGTATCCTAATGGCCCCATACAAAATCACTCCTGAAATGTATTTTATGATGGCTGTCCGGGGGGAAATACACTAACCAGCAGACATGGCTAATGTTATTCCTACTTAATTTAAGGAGTAACAATCAAACTAATGAAAACAGACTTACACCCCAAAGAAGCAAACATAACAAACTGAAAGAGAAGGACAAAAGACAATATTAGAAATATAGGTAGCCATCAGATTGAATTTACCCAGCTTGCTCAATCCCTTTACTTTTTAGGGAAAATTTTCTAAAATTTGTTTCCCCGGAAATATACTGTACAACACAATTATAAGGAAAGTGATGCTTTAATTATAAATTGTTGTCATGAACAATACAAATCTTAAATTTGTTGATAAACTTATTTTAACCAAATTCAAGCCTATAATTCAGTAATGATCTTGTCAATTCATTTGTAAAATTACTATTCCAAGGTGATTGCCTTAAGCTAAACTAAAAGGGAGGTCCATCTGTGGTAAGCGGTTAGATCCTGTGGATTTATTTATTTATTTTTACTTGCAAATTAATAGAGTAGCCCTGCGATACTGATCTACATTAGGAAAGTATATAATTAGTGGATCCAGAATTGACAAACAAAAACTTGGATATCTCTACAAATAGGATATACAGAAGCTGTCTAACTGGCCTGATCTATTCTCTGGGCTGATATTTCAGTAACGCTTTTATTCTCTAATAATGGTGAGTCCCCCAGCACATGCTGCTATCTAGATTAACCTAATTTCAAAGGCGGGGGCTTGATTCCTTTTGTTCATTAAGGGTTTGCCCGCCTGCAAGATCCCAGCGCCTTTGTAGTCCCCACCCTCCTTCACTGCTCTCAACTTCTCCCCAGGCTCCTCGGACTCGCACCTCCCAGGCGACTGTTTGTTAGTTTGGTGCGTGTGTGTGTGTGTGTGTGTGTGTGTACATGTGTGTAAGCGCGCGCGCCAGGTGCGGGACCTAACCCTCGAGGTTTGCAAGATCCACTTACCTTGACCTGACTCTCCGTCATCCCCAACGAATAGGCCAAGCGAGCCCTCTCGGGTCCCGCCAAGTATTTTGTTTGTTCGAAAGTCTTCTCCAGGGCAAATATCTGCTGTCCGGAAAAAGTGGGTCGCGTGTGTTTTCTCTTCCCGTCTTTGTCCAACAAAATGGATCCTTGATCTGTGAAAACCAATACAAAACGAGAGAGGGAGAAAAACAATCTGTTACAAGCGGCTGCATTGGGGGGAGAAAAAACCCAACTCGAAAAACATGTTTTGTGGGAAAAGAAAGCTCACTCTGTGATGGAGACCAGAAGTGTAGCGGTGCTTCCAGCCTAATGGCGAATCTCCCTTTGCCTTTTTCATCCACCTGTTTTTTTAAAGCCGGGTGTTTGGCGCAGCAGTAAATACCTTCTGCTCAACACCGAAGTCAAACAGCTAGGGAGCCTATTGCTAAAGTTTTTCAGAGCCTAATCGCAAGGCCCCATTAAATCAACGAATTCGGGAGGTAGGGAAAAGGCCACTCTCGCCTCCTAATCCAGCCGGTCCTCTCTGGGCCCCGGAGCCTTTGCCTGAGGATAACTAGATTTTTTTTTTCCTTCAACGCTTCTCTAACCTGTGTCCAGGCAACAAAGGGGTCCTTGTTTTCGCACACAAGAGAACTAAATCGCCCCCAAGTCTAACATCGCTGCAGCCGAGGGAAAGAGGGGAGGGGGAGGGGGCACAGCCTTTGTTGGCGGCCCCTACGTGGCCATCAAAACCAATACAATAGCGTCTCCCTGGCACCCCCACCAGGCCCAGCCGCCACCATCCCCCGGCTTCCCAAGAGAACCTCCACTGGGCTTCCGCAACTTCCCGCAGTTATTGCCGCTCAGCCGGACTAGGGAGGTCTGGAGACTTGGAAGAAACTTCGGGGACTCGCTCAAAAGTGAAGAACGGAGCGACACAAGGACCCCGGGCTGGGCCACAAAGTCCACCTGGAAGGCTGGGAGCCTCCACATCGCTTCGGCAGACTACCCGAAGACCAGCGTGATCTTGGGGCAACTGAATTTGCCTCAAGCAAGATCTTTGCGGGATGGTACATTTTCCCCAGTCCTTGTCCCTTCACCTTGCTCTTCCCCTGGGTCTTTCTTGTTTTAGAGGGTTGAGCTCCACGGTGTCCCCAAATGTGCCGAGACGCAATGTGTGCCAGCCCCCAGAGTGGAGGCAGGTAGGAAAGCGCGGGCCCAGAGCTAGGGAGTGGCTGGAAGCGCTTGGCGCTGGCCCTGCGCAGGGGACTGCTGGCCTGTCTTCTGTGTGCTAACACCCGTGTGTACTAGGGCGGCGAGGGTGAAGAGGTGAGGTGGGGACACCCCGGGCGGAGACGTGCATGCAAACACAGGCACTTCCCGGGTGGTAGAGGGCTCGCCGCTGCCCGGCCTCACTGCTTGGAAGAGAGCCAGCAGGTTAGGCTGCCGAAGGCCGAATGGGGCGCTGGACGGCAGGCAGGAGCTCAGAAAGCGAGGGTGCAGTGACCTCTCCTCCCCATCCCTCTAACCCAGGTCAGGCCTGGGGTTCCGGCCAGGCCGTTTCAGGAGCAGCCAGGGCCTCGGACGAGACATACGTCCCGAACCGCGTCGTGATCCACACGAACACACACACACCGGCTCAGCCCCGGTCTCAAGACAGAGAGAGGGAGGCGCTTGGATGTAGCCACTCGAGCGCAGGAAAGCGAGAATCCCTCTCTGGACGCCCGAGCTGCCAAACTACTGGGGCGGACCACCAGGTGGATCAAGCAACACACGCACCAGGGGCCGCGACCCGAGAGTGGGCACAATGAGCGTGGCAGGCGTGCCCCGGGGCGCGGGCGGTCGTACTCACGAGGGGTACAGGCCAGGCGTGCATCCCTCCAGGGCGGGCTCTGCATCACTCCGGGCCAGAAGATCGGCGTCCGGCCGGGCAGCTCCGCTAGCGGCTTGGGGTACCGGCCCACAGCGGCCACGGCCGCAGCGCTGGGGCTGAAGTAGAGCCCGGGCGGCGGTGGCGGCGGGCTCAGGCTGCTGAAACGGGGCAGTCCGGCCAGCAGCCCTGCCGGGGATGAGGCAGCTGCTGCGGCCGCTGCAGCAGCTGCGGCGGCGGCAGAGGCAGAGGAGGCAGAGGCAGACGAGGAAGAGGAAGAGGAGGAACCCGAGGGCGAGGCGGAGGGCAGGGCGGCCCCCGAGGCCACGGGCATGGATGGCCGGCTCAGGATGTCGTTGATGCCGTGCGGGGTGGCGGCCGACAGCTGCTGCGGGGGGCTGCCCAGGGATGAGAGCCCCCCCGTAGCTGGGGGCTTCAGGCCGCCCGGGTTGTGGGTGCCCAGAGGCGGGGAGGGCGACGAGGAGGACGACGACGAGGATGAAGAGGAGGTGGGGCCGGCGGGCAGCGGAGGATACGCCGCAGGGTACAGCGGGGTCTTCATTTCGGCCATGCTGTGCAGGGCGGCCAGGGGCGGGCTGCTGAGCAGGAAAGCGCTCTGCCGGGTGCCCTCCATTGCCCCCACCGCTAACATCCCACGGCCAGGCCGGAGCCCGTAGCCTTGCAGCGAGGGCGAGGGCTGGTGCCCCTGGCGGGGCTCAGAGGAGCCGGAAGCGCAGAGGGCGCGAGCGGAGAGGCGCTCGGCGCACCCGGAGGCGAGCTGCCAACTGGGCCAAGAATGCAGCCGCCGGGAGTTGCTCCCCTAGCTGCGCAGCAGAGATGTCCAAAAAACCCCAAGCGGGAGGCGGAGGATCGCAGAGAAGAGCAGGCGTCCCGGCGGGCTGGGCAGTCCTTTCGTTCCGCGAGTCCTGGATTCGATCCTCAGCCCTTCTCTCTTTCTCACTTTTCCTAGCTGTTCAAAGTGCGCTATTTCTCATTTTCTGCCCCCCGGGAAATAAGCAAAACAAACCCAGGCTGGCTCCGGAGAGTGCGTGGCAAACTTAGTCGCCGAATCTCCACTTTGAAGTTGGAGGGTGGGGGTGGCTTGCTTTCTTTGGGGAGGTTCAAAGGACGCCGGGTTCAGCCCGTGGCGCTCCTCTGATCTTACTGGGATGCTCTGCTCTTTCGGCCGCTCGGCTGATTCACATTCGGCGCTCACTGTAACTTGGAAGAGAGCGCAACCAGCCCGCGGGAAATCTCGCCTCTGGGCGGGCTTTTTCCGCCAGCGCTGCCCCGGGCTGCTGCGCCAGAAAGGGCAGTGCCACCCGTCCCCGCGGCTCCGGATCCGCACCACGACCCGCCTTGCCCTCTGGGCCACGGGGCACTGGAGTTACAGTATTGAAAAGTAAAAGGGGTGGGGAAAAAGCACAGAAAAACAAAAGACTAAGTGTGAAAAGTCTGGCGGCTGGGTTTGGGCGCCGCTCGTCAGTCCACTTCTGCAAACCGGCCTGGCAACCCCCGCCCACCCCCGCGCCCTCTCTCCCTCTCACTCTCCGCCTTGGACTCTCCTCTCTGGCATTTTCGTCGCGGCTTCCCAGGCTTCGCTCTTCCAAGTGCCGTCCTCTGGCCAAACTGACCCTCTCCGCGGCTCCTCCGCTCTCTCTCCTTTCCTCTCTCCCTCCGGGCCTGACAGTTCGAATGAAGCTCTCAAAGGTAATAAAACATTTGCATCACTCCCTACCCCTCTTTAGCTGGGGGACGAAAGGGAGGGGGAAGTGGGGGACCAAAACGAGAACTTTGAGGGACGTCACTCCGAGGCGGCGGGGAGGGCCGGGTCCCCGGAGCTGGGCGCAGGCCGGGGGCGTAACCATCATGTCCAATAGCGCGTAGCCTTGAGCCTCGCGTCGACCCTGGCGCACGCCCACTCGGGGGCGCCGCGCCCTCTGATTGGCTGAGGCGGGGGAGCCGTAGGGCCGCGCCCGCCTAGTCCCCTCCCGCTCCCTACTTCATTCTCCTGTGGGCGGAGCCGGGAGGAGCGGGAGCGGGCGAGTGGTGCGGTTCCTTGGTGGGGACAGTGGCCGCCTCAATTAATTGTGTTAAATAAAATGAGAAAGGGGAGGGGGAAGCAGAGACGAAGAGGGTATTACTTTTTAAAGAGAGGAATAATGAAAACCCAGCCCTTTTATGGAAAAGCAGTTCATATCCTTCCCTTGCTTCCCCACCGGCCCGCTCGCGTCATCGTATCCTCTTCCCCCACCAGCTCTGGAGGGCGCCTCACCTCGAACCGAGTCTGGTCCCTTGTAAAATGGAGCTAATGGAGCAGGCAGCGGGCACAGCCCTCGCCTGGCTCCTTCTTTTGAAAGGATTAATTAAAGGCCATCTGGGCTCTCCCAGAATTGTGTAAATTAATTTGTTGCTCCTTAAGCCTATAGATGTCCTTAATCCCCTTGTAGGCCGAAGGATCGTCCTCTTCCATCTCTCCACCTCCTGCTCTCCTTTTCTGTTCTTTCTTCTCCACTTTTCTTTTCATTCCCGAGTCCCCCCCTCCTTCCCACCGCGTTCATTACCATTTACGGGTTACTCAATTCGCTGAAAACTGAATCAGTTTAATAGGAATATTTATCTGTCAGGTGATGTTCAGACCTGAGAACAGTGAGGTTTTTTTTTTTTTTTTCCTTAACTTTTCTCCCTTTGACTATTGTTATTTCTTTTGGGTTTACATGGGGGTAGAATCATCAAAATTCAGGCGGAGACTTTAGATACAGAAGGTTTAGATACAGGGTACTCCCTGGGAACTGTAAGCTTTTGAAAACCCTTTCCGAAACTCTGTCTCCTACTTTCAATTCTAGAGTTGCTACGGGAGGTGGAGATGTCCCGGCTCCTGGGCACTGGTAGTGGGATGTCTATCTAGGGTTCAGGAGTTGAAGGGTGGTTTCCTTTACTCTCTCAATCTCTTCCATCTCTAGCCAGTCTTTACGTTCCCGACAGGGTTGAACTGCGCGCTGGAGAAGGAAAAGCCTTTGACAATTTTGATAATTTAGGATGTTAAAGTAACAACCATTAGAAGGTGGTGGCTACAACAAATTTGGATGAGATCATAAATTACAATTTTAATGCACAGAAAGCAGAAATAAACGCAATAAATGGCTCAAGAATGGAACCTGATCAGCACCACCGACGGATGAAGTTTGGCTATTGGTGCTAAAGCGCTCATTTGGGTCCAAGCACGAAAAACCAGGAGAGCGTACTTCGCTTCGATAATCTTCGTTTACTAAGCACTAGTTTTTAAGGGTCAGCTTGAGCTTGAGCTTGAAACTGGGGGAAGGAGGGGTTATATTTGCCAGTTTTATTCCCCTCTAAGATAGAAGCAATGTTTTGTGGTCCTCCTCTTCCTTCATCTTTCTTCATTAACTTCAAGACTGGTTTAAATCTATTATTTCATGGACTTTAGAATCTGGCCTGGGGGAAAGTGAAGTCCTTCCTCAGCGTGAATAATGCTAAGGAGTCAAGCCAAGACTCTCGCTTCAGAAGAGACCTGCTATTCAACCGTCAGCATTTCCCCGCGGGGATCCAGTGCTTGGGTCTAAACCCCAGCGCCCTGCCACTTTGGCCAGGAGGCTGCGGGAGGATGGTGGCAGGCATAGCCGGTTCTGGCATTGCAACTGGGGCGCCTATGTCTCTGGCTTCGTTATAAACAAAACCTTTCTCGCCTGCGGACACTCCACCCTGGCGGTGGCACCCAACCTTCAGTCTCCACTCTGCGCCGGCCCTTCCAGCGAGCTTCTCACATGCTCCAGGACACTGCATTCTCAAGGACTAGGTAGGAATTGGGAGGAAAAGAGGCTAGTCATCCCCAAAGATTCCAATTTTAAAGAATGAAACCCCTTTTATCTCATGTAATTATTATGACCCGGAAGAGAGTTGAACATTTTTCTACTGAGAATACTAGTATCTAATATTGGGGGCGGGGTTGCCAAAGAGAGACACGGGGGCAGGGGAGAGATTGAGATTGAGATTCAACTCAATCCAACTCCGGGTGAACTGCCTTGAGTAAATAGCTGCAACGTTTGGTGTAAAGATGTCTCCTCCATCGTTGACTTTTATGTATCATTCGCATTGCCAAATTAAAATGGCAGCATTGTTCTTAATTATGACAATAAAAAAATCCGGATCCGTGTACCTTGATCCCTAGTAGTGAGAGTGTGAACCCTGGGTGCTCGATCCCGCGTGGGGCAGCGTGTATTGCAGACGCACCCTGAGCAACACTGGAAGCCAGGCCGGTTCCTCCAGCCAGGTGCTGGTAGTAGTGAATCTGCTGTCTGTCTACAGCTGGGAGCGGTGAGAACGACGGAGCGTCCTGGGAGAGGGTAGGCTGCCCTTGTCACTCCCGGGAGAAGATCGCCCTGCTCTCCGCTCTAACTGCCGAGCTGAAACCAATTTCGGGACCCTAGTCCTGAAGAAGCTAACGCTGACATGGGAGGCCTGTTTCCGGTGGGACAGTCTTGCGCACTGCATTCAGATGCCTTTGAAAGTCAGGACTTGCTCTTTCTTGGGGACCTACGAAACCGCCACTCCTTCCTGCTCGCGACCTAATAAAGTGGGACTTTTTCAAGTACCCCTCGGGAGTGGAACGTGTAACACGTGGTTGCAAGGATCCCGGCGCATCTCTACACAGTATGTCTAATGGGGGTGGGGGGAGGTCTGTTTGAAAGCAAATGATTTGCATTTTAATTGAAAAATAAATGAAAGCGGTTTGACAAATTCTGAGGTTGCAAAAAGGGTTAAAAGTGTAGGGGTGAGGAAGGCTCTGTGCTCCTCGACTTTGAGACTGGAAACAACAGCGTTTGTTTTCTGGTGACTGTTTTTAGCCTGCTGGCACCGTTACGGAGCCTGCGCCGTCCACTTGACCTCCCTACCGGCAGCCTAACACTTGACTCAGAAACGCCAAGCGCGTTTTGATACTTGTTTTAAGTTAAAAGAACAGCCATCAAATTCAGGGTAACTAACTGAAGGAATGCAAATGAACCCTTAGCTAAATATTTTGCAGGGAGGGATGATAACGGTTCTGCCCCAAATACAGTAATGTCAATTGTCGGGATACCCAAGTGTAGCCGCAGAAAGTCAATTTGTAGTCTGCAAAAAAAAAAAAAAAAAAAAAAAAAAAAAAAAAAAAAAAAAAAAAAAAAAAAAAAAAAAAAAAAACGGGGTGGGGTGGGGGATGGGGAGAGGAATGAAGGGAATTGTGTGTGTGTTTCAGGCCAAAAATCTCTTTAAAATGCGGTTGCTTGAATTGTCTGGACTTCTTTGGTAACTCCATTTCACCCGACGAATAGGGCCTGCTTGGGCTGAACCCGCAGGGCAGCTGGGTTTAACTGAATGTTATAAAAGAGTTGAGCTGGCTGCTAGGTAGAAATACAAGGAAGAAAGAAGAATGTCCCTAAGCTTGGACCAACACACTCCTGAGGAAGGATAACAGGGAGAGAGGGAGAACCTGTCGGTCTGTCTGTCTTTGCTTCCTGTAAACGCTGCAGAGTGGGAACTGCACCTTTTTTTTTTTTTTTTTTTTTTTTTTCTTTGAGACAGAGTTTCGCTGTTGTTACCCAGACTGGAGTGCAATGGCACGATCTCGGCTCACCGCAACCTCCACCTTCTAGGTTCAAGCAATTCTCCTGCCTCAGCCTCCCGAGTAGCTGGGACTACAGGCGTGCACCACCATGCCCAGCTAATTTTTTGTATTTTTAGTAGAGACGGGGTTTCACCTTGTTGACCAGGATGGTCTCAATCTCTTGACCTCGTGATCCACCCGCCTCGGCCTCCCAAAGTGCTGGGATTATAGGCGTGAGCCACTGCGCCCGGCTGGAACTGCACCTTTACCACAACTTCTGCTGCCCGGGTCTTAAGGTGGAGATTTGGGAAGGATCATAGTAGACAGGGTGGAAGACTGCTCTAAGATCTTGCATTAGGCGCTCTCCCAGTGGAGGCCAACACCAAACAAGTGGGGAAGCGACCGCTGTAGACACCTCCATCCGTTCTACCACCGAAAAGATCTCGAACTCCTGGACTTCCCTCAGCGAGATCGTCAGTGAGAGAGAACGTTACACCTCTCCATACACACGCAGAGTCCGTACCTGGGAGTTAAGTGCGCTCCGAAGGGTGG